GCTTCCCGGGAAACCTAGGCCGAGCACCCACAACCCGGGCCCCCCACCAGCACCAAGACCAGCTCCTGCTCCCCTCTGGCTGCCTCAGATTGAGGACCCTCATGGCAACCCCCAACTTGGTTTTCCTGAGATGAGACAGGGTCTTTATGGTGCTGCATGCTCGTGACTCGCTGGGGGCCTCAGTAATTCCTCACGCTCACCCTCCACTATCGGCTGCTACCATTGGGACACAGTACCACTCCACATGGCTGCTACCCGTCTGCTCCCAGGCATGCTCCCATGCATAGCTTGGTTGGCACCCAGCACAGGGCAAACATGTCATGTGAAAGGATGAATGAGGCCAGTGCCCAGAATAAGATGCAGCCTCCTGACTACCCCGTCCCAGATCAGCTCAGCACCCAACTCCTTACAGGTGCCTGAAGGATGGGGCACACTGGGGACACTCCCTGTTGCACTGCTTGTGAAGGGAATAAAAAGAAGACCCCAGGCCCACCAGGAGTGGAGCGTGCATGTGGCACACTCATGTGAGCTGCAGGAGAGCTCACGCCAAGGGGCAGGTGGAAGAACCACCTGTGCAGTGTGACCCACTTTTATTAAAACCAAAACAAGTGACCTGACCCCAACCAAATGCATTCTGGAAGATGCTGTGCTGCAAAAGGAGAAGACACACACCTGGAGGAGCCACCCCAGCATCTGGCAGGAGGCCTTGGGGCCAGAATGGCCTGATACCCACTCTCTCAGTCTTGGGACTGGGGTAGGTGTCGCCTTGTAATAAAAACAAGATGAGGGCCGGCCCGGTGGCGCACTGGAGAGTGCACCGCTTGGGAGCGCGGCGGCACTCCCGCCGAGGGTTCGGATCCCATGTGGTGACCGGTTCCTGCTCACTGGCTGAGCGTGGCGAGGGCGCAACACTGAGGGTTGCGATCCTGTTGCCGGTCCCCGATGCGGGCGTGACACCGAGGGTTGCGATCCCGTTACCGGTCAGTATAAGGGGACAAAAAAGAAAAAAAAAAAACAAGATGAAAAAAAAAAAAAGCCATGATGGTAGACAGACAAATATTTGTTCAGTATTACTGGGTGCCTTAAATTTAAGTGGACTAATGGGTGTGTCTGAGTATGACTGTATTAAAAATGTAACACAACACTGAACCACCCTGGGACATCTGCAGGTCAGCTTCACTGTTCCACATCCGTACTCTGCACATGATTCTTAAGGGACATTTTGAGAGGTTTGCACGACCTGTAAAAACAGGAACAGCTAAAGACTGACCCCAAGACTTGGTCTGTTTCTGAGCACACGATTGCCACTGACACCTACGCCCTTTCTCTGAATGTTGAAGGTCATCCCCTTGCCTCGGGTTCCCTGTCCCATTATTCCACAGAGAATACTCCGCAAAGTGTGCTGTGAGGGACTCCCCCGTTGCCCAGAGCCATGTCCTCTGGAATCACTAAGGAACTCAGGTGCACAAGGCACACAGCAACGGCCTTGCTGGCTTTTCTGCACTGTCTTTGCTCAATGCAAACAGAACCTCTAAGTCTTACCTCATCATCCCAGTTTATCTTTGTGAACTTCAGTTGCCTAAAGCTTTTACAGGCTCCATCAGAACAGCACTGAATGGATGGCTTGCTTTCACGTAAAATGAATACAGCTGGGACTTGAGAGCGACTGCACAGCTCCCCTGGTCTAGCGCCCTCTAGTGCACCAGAGCAGTCCTGTCAGCAGAGGTCGCAGAGGGTCTCGTGGCTGGTGCAGGGAGCCGCTCCAGTGCCAACGTGGTTTTAGGCTCCACTGTTAACCCAGAAGTGTCTCACCTACATTTGCCAACTAGCTATGAAATTAAGCATTCTCACACTGCACTTAAGATGACCATTTTGCCAGTCCATTTGCATATAGCATCACTAATAGCAAACATCTTGAAGGAAACAGTTTGGTCAACTTGAAGAATTATATTACTTTCTCAAAGAACATTCTGTTAACTCATTGACTCTGACCCCACCAATCAATCGAAGTAAGATCTCATTTCTCCTGGCCGGGTCCCTTCTAGAGTATCTCTCTGAATCCGCATGGTGCTAGTGGCATTTCCTGTGTGTAAACACTAGCTTTGGTCTCGAAGATTAGTGAAGAGAGAAATGATGAATGTGTCCACTTTGCTGGCACCTCTGGGAAGATTTTCTGTGACACACGTGGACAACTTGAAACACATGTCCTGTGTCATCTCAGCAGGGGCTTCATCTGGGCTGACAGAGGAGATGGATGCTCAGAGGGCTAGGTACCCACGAGAAACTGCATGGCTGCTGAGAGAGGAGCTTAGGCCAAGGTTGCACCTGAACTCTGAACCCTTGCTCTGAATCATGACTGCGTGGTGACTGCAAGGAAATAAAAAACCCAAGTGGGGACATCTGGTGGCCAGCGTGTGGCCACACAGGATGCGGCACACTGCCTCCAGACCAGACTATGAGACACCACTGGGCAGGACAACTCACATGGTGCCCATACACATGTGAGCACAGAGCTGCTTCGCAGCCCAGTACACGTGGGAGAGCTGAGGACACCACCCCTCCATGGCCCCCAGCCCCCTGCCCTGCACTGACCGCACAGCTGGCCTGTCACTGTCACGCGTCTTGTTTTCATACCACTCAGGCTTGCTCGCATCGACTGACAGCTGTCAGCCAGGAGTTCAGCTCTGGCTGTCTGTCACAGAGCAGGGTCTGTGCAATTGTCTGGATCTTCTACTTAATTATGTTTTCCCAATGAAAACTAATGGAAAATAAAAGCAAATGTGCTGATGTTAGTGTCAGTAATTTGAGAGGAAAGGACTGACAGTGGCAAACATCTTGATGCAACCAGGTGCCCAGTGAACTTGAATTTGCTGAATGCAAGCTCAATTGTGAAAAAACAAAAATGAAGAACACGAAATGCTAAAAATGTGCATCAAAACTTATGTCTGAAAAGCAAGGTGAAGCAAATCATGAGATTTCTAAAACTATGGGTCAACAATCGGCCCCCAGACTGGAGGGGCTGGGTGCTCCACTTGAAGGGAAGTGTGTGGAGCCCCAGACAGGTGAGGGGGATGACAGGAGCTGGGAAGAAATGACTTACAAGTTTTTATTTTTTACACTTCACATCTAGTCTACGTCTTGATATTTGAAACATGCATGTGTACATTATATAATATGCAGAGGGAAAGAAACATTTATGCCATAACTAGGGATTTTATAATACTTAAAACACTCCTGGGAATGGAACCAACCTAGAACACGTACACTACGGTGAGATTCCTGAACACCAGACTTCAGCATGTGTTGTTGGGACAAAGAGAACTCATTGAGCAGGAGCAGCCACGCATGTGCCTTGCCTTCCAGAAGACAGAAGGGCATGGGAGTGCGGGTGATCCTTCCTGTCCAGCAGCCCCAGACATTGTGGCGTCTTGAGGGCCCAGGGAGACGCCTGGAAGACTGGGTGTGTCACAGTACCCTCAGGAAGCATGTCTCCTGCAAATGAAGTCTGTGATGTGGCCTGCTGAGCCTTGGCTTCTGTCTGCACGAAGGATGACTCTTCCCTGTTCTGTGCAATACCCAGGTGAGACTGCACATGCAAAGTTCTGCGACAGTTTTTAGGTAGATGCAAAATAAAGATCAGAATTAACCCCATATGCCTCTTTTCCAACCCTGGTGCAGTCCCGACTAGCAGGAGAGAGGTGGCGTTGGATGAGAGAACACATGACCAGCCCCTCTGTGAGTCAAGCTGAGCACTTCCCTCGGGGAGGGTCCTGCCCACCTGACCAAGAAAGAGGCTGCATGCACGGAGGCTCACCTGCAAGGTGAGTTCAGCATGGAAGTCATCTCTGGAGGCAGAGATTGGTCCACCAAACATGGCATCACACACCAGCCACAAGTGTCATGTGAACAGAAGTGAGCAGCCAACAATGGATGACCCAGGATATGACAGAGTTGACCTGTACTGCCCAGGCTTACCTGCATGGGTGTCTGTGCACAGAATGCCCTGAGTCGTGGGCGCAGGTGCATGGCAGACCCTGACCACAGCTGACTGGAAAACCTCTAACAGTGAACCAACAGCTAGTGCTCATTCTGCCTCCAGCAGCGACATTTTAAGGAAGTTTTTTTTTTTTTTTTTTTTTTTTTTAAAGATGACTGGTAAGGGGATCTCAACCCTTGACTTGGTGTTGTCAGCACCACGCTCTTCCAAGTGAGCTAACCGGCCGTCCCTATATAGAGATCCAAACCCGTGGCCTTGGTGTTATCAGCACCACACTCTCCCGAGTGAGACACAGGCTGGCCCTTTAAGGAAGTTCTAAGGCATTCAGAAGGGCAAAGTTTCAGACACATCACATATACCCTACCCGTGATAACCAGAAAAATCTTTATTCCAATATGCTGCTTAATCATTTCATCAAGAAAACGCATGCGGTTACATCTACTGTCTAATGTGTGCATGCCGGGGGCTGGTGGAAGAACCGGAGGACCAGCAGACAGGGACAGCAGGAACATGCTCATCTTCTGTGCGCAATCCCCCAAGGGGAGTGGACCCTACAGGAAGCACAGAGAGTCAAAATAAAAAGCTTAACTTTGTCTCTGAAGTGACTTCAGAATTTTACAGTGAAGAAAATGAGCACACAATGTCAAATACAAAAAGTTAGTAGGGGGAAAAAGAGTTCATCAGTTTAACATGTATGTTTCAAAAAACAGGAGTTACATCAGTGCTTTTAGAGTATTATTAATGTATTTAAGTCATAATTTATTTATTTATTTGTTTATTTTTAAAGATGACCAGTAAGGGGATCTCAACCCTTGACTTGGTGTTGTCAGCACCACGCTCTTCCAAGTGAGCTAACCGGCCGTCCCTATATAGAGATCCAAACCCGTGGCCTTGGTGTTATCAGCACCACACTCTCCCGAGTGAGACACAGGCTGGCCCTTTAAGGAAGTTCTAAGGCATTCAGAAGGGCAAAGTTTCAGACACATCACATATACCCTACCCGTGATAACCAGAAAAATCTTTATTCCAATATGCTGCTTAATCATTTCATCAAGAAAACGCATGCGGTTACATCTACTGTCTAATGTGTGCATGCCGGGGGCTGGTGGAAGAACCGGAGGACCAGCAGACAGGGACAGCAGGAACATGCTCATCTTCTGTGCGCAATCCCCCAAGGGGAGTGGACCCTACAGGAAGCACAGAGAGTCAAAATAAAAAGCTTAACTTTGTCTCTGAAGTGACTTCAGAATTTTACAGTGAAGAAAATGAGCACACAATGTCAAATACAAAAAGTTAGTAGGGGGAAAAAGAGTTCATCAGTTTAACATGTATGTTTCAAAAAACAGGAGTTACATCAGTGCTTTTAGAGTATTATTAATGTATTTAAGTCATAATTTATTTATTTATTTGTTTATTTTTAAAGATGACCAGTAAGGGGATCTTAAACCTTGACTTGGTGTTGTCAGCACCACGCTCTCCCAAGTGAGCCACGGGCCGTCCCTAAAGCCATAATTTAAAAGTCCACAATGAATATAAAAGTGAACATTACTGAATTTCTGAACTACTAATGAAAAGCTCAGAAACACAATTCTCAAGAATATTTAAAGTTCTGTGTCTGCTCATGTCACACATGTTTATTTAAAAGTTTTCTCTTATACATGCACTTTTCCAAGGGAAGTTTTTACCTTTCAGAGTGGGCGGAACACTTGCCTGAACACTGCCTCTGCAGCAGGCCCGGGATGCTGATTGGCTGCCTGGGCGCTGGGGCCTGGGAGGGCGGCCCAGCCTGGGAGCTGCCGGGGCAGGGAGAGCCCCCCCTGCTCACTCTGCCTGCTAGCTGGGATGTCGGAGTCTGTGACAGTCCCTTGTAGGGGATGTGCAGTGGTGGAATCCTAGTAATGGATTCAACAAATACAAAATCGTGAATGCTTCAACTGTTTTTGGTGACACGATAATTCCAGCTATGAGCATTTTGTAGTCTTAAAGGCCACCTGCTGATTCAGAAGCACGTCTGGGTGCTCAGGACCAGCAGCGCCCGCCCCACACACAGCACGTGCCCCCCCACCCCCAAGCAGCCTCTTGAGGGAAGGCTCCTCTGGGCTGCAATTACTGTGAGCAGGTCCTTGTGAGGACGGGGGCTGGTTACCACAATCAATGGACACTCCCATAGGACTCCTCCCAATGCTGATTAGAGTTCAGTTACCTTTCCCAGGGTCAATATTAAGAAGCTGAGCAGAAAAACACCAAGGGAGGGAATCCAGGGTCTCTGCTGACCCCCACTTCCCACAGACACCCAGACCTGCTGCCTTCGACCCAGGGTCCACTTGCTCGCTGCTGCCACCCTACCTGCCCCAACCTTCCCACCACGTGGGCCGCTCCCTTCCCTGTCCTCCTCCTCATCCCTTAACTGCCAAGATCCTCTCAGGTTCCACCATTAGCACTCTAAAGGTTCTGGAAGCTTCCGAGGCAAGCTTATCCACTCTCACACTTTTGACCATGCCCTCCAAGGCGAGGAATCCTGAATCACGTGTCCAACCCAGACCCAGACTGCAGGATCCCCAGGGCTGTGGTTCTCCTTGTCGAATGAATTTCTCTCCTATATTATCTGTTTTTCATTTTCTGTATTTAAGGATGGTTTGACATCTTGGGGCCTTGCAACTCCTGGAGATGCTGCTCTCCCAGGTCTGGCTAATCTCCTGGGGAGCCAACAACCTACCTGTGATCACACCTTTCATATACAAACCAACCGATCCAAAGACCAGCCCCACCACCTCCTCTGTCTCAGTCCACATCCAAGCCAATCCTTCTCTCGCCTACACCTGCTGGGGAGCAGAGGCTGCCCACAGCCCAGCATCCACAGCAGTCATTCAAACTCGCTGATCCTAAACTGTCTGCACTGCCCGCCTTTTTGCAGAAGACACAATAAAGGTGTGTATGAAGGTTTATGCCCAGGTGTTTCCTTTGACCCTCTGCCTCCTGACAGACCAGAGTGACACTTTTTCCTTCCAAGGCAGTGTCTCTGTGCTGTTGTCCTGCTGCACCTGCCTACAGCACAGTCCCCAGGACTCAGACAAATCCACGTAAAACCAGACTCATCTTTTTTTTTTTTCCTTTTTTTGTCTTTTTCCGTCTCCGGCAACGAATCACAACCCTCAGTGTCGCCCCCGGACCGGACCGGGACCAGCAACGGGATCGCAACCCTCGGTGTCGCTCCCGTGCCTCGCTCAGCCAGTGAGCAGGAACCGGTCTGTATGTGGGATCCGAACCCTCGGCGGGAGCGCCGCCGCGCTTCCCAAGCGGCGCACTACAGCAGTGCACCACCGGGCCGGCCCAAACCAGACTCATCTTTGCCTTGCCAAGGCCCTCTGCTTGTGCTGTCTGTCCATCCACAATCACCAGAGACAGAGAATGGGGCATGTCGACGGGACACTTCACTGCCCTGGGTGGCTGTGAAGGCAGGCGGGTGGATGAGGTGGGGCAGACACAGCAGGGTCAGCGGGCACCGAGGGAAAAGGGAGACACACCCAGTGTGTGCCTAACTGTACAGCCAAGAAAATGGGGGCCACACGAATATCTAGAAGACCGTGGTTCAGTGAACTGTGTTCTGTTCAGGGATGGCAACTACCGCCTATGGGCCGAGTCCAGCCCACCACCTGTTTTTGTAAGTAGTTTTACTGAAGCACAGCCTCACCCTCTTGTCCAGATGGTCTACAGCTGAGCACTTGCCTCCTAAGAACTGGAAATACCAACTACCTGCCCTTTACAGAAAACATCTGGCAACTCCCCCTCTATTCCCATGATAAAGTATCATACAGCCATGAAATGGTTCTTTTGGAGTTATCAGTAACAGGGCAAATGCCTATGTTATATTTTAGTTTCAAAAAAGCAAAATATAAACGGTTATATACAATATAAACTCACTCAAAACATATTAAAATAGGATTAAAAAGCAATACACTAAAACTTTAACAGTGGTTATTTCTAGTGAATCAGATTGACTACATTTTGTTTTGTTTACATTTTCCCTTTTAAATATTTTTAAAAAGTTGTACGTGGGACCCTACCTGAGAGCACTGGACACACTCGTCTGACTTGGCGTCAGGCTGAGATGCTGAGGGCCCCAGTGGGAGACACTGCCTGTGGTGGAAAGGGAGTAAGATGTATGTTGTTCAGTTAGCACAGCACGACGTTTCTTTGTCTCTATATAACCCTGCATGTCCACACTGACCTGTCAAGTGCCCGAGCTCTTCGACTCTGCAAATGCATCCACATAAAGGAGTGTAAATGTCTCACATCTCAACCTTCTTACCTTTATGGACCTTTGCAACTAAGAGAATATAAATCACAAGTATCAACATAGCAGATTGACATCAAAACCTGGAAGCAGGCACCGAGCAGTCTGGCTGAGCTCCAGCCTCGCACAGGAGCTCCTGGGCTGCAGCTCCCACCTCCAGTGGCTTGCTCTTGCCAGCAGCCACAGTCATGTGGGCGTGCAGGCATGCAGGGGCTCCACAGACAGCTGTGGAGCTGCACTTCTTCACTCACCACTCTGCAGCCCTGCCCTGCTGCTCTGAGAACTCCTGGGAAGGAGCCCCTTCCAGGAGTTCTTCCAGCTCCCTTCTGCAGGGATCTACCTGTAGTTAACTTCCTCCGCTTCCCTGCTAACATGAAAAGGGAGATGGACAGCTCTGTTCCAAGCCAACGATGCTTATGGTCAAATCCCTTGGGTTTGGAAATCTACGTGCTGGGGGAGTCCGAGCTTTGGGCTTCCCTGAACATGGTGACTCTGGTGATGGGCAAGTGCCTGGCATGTCATGGAATGTTATGGGGGAAGCTGGCCTGTGGGACAGGAGGCCCCCTGAACAAGGTGGCCTCTGCACCCCTAATGGGAGTCCTGTCTCTGCCCTGGGGCTGTGTGGACTGAGGGAGGACACTGCCCACAGGTGGCATGGAATGCTCCTGAGTCTGCAGATGACCTTCAGAAGGCCCTGCAGAACAGCTAAGAACCAGGAAGGCAAAACTGTCTTAGCAGTCTGTATTAATCCTGTTTTTATTTTCTGTATTCTATGGTGCTTTGACATCATGGGGCCTTGATGATCTTGGAGAGACTGTCGCTCCCAGGAATAGCTAATTCTGAGACAGTAAACAACTTGCCTGGGAGCACACCTCTGATACAAAAACCAACCAATCCAGAGCCAACACTCTGATTCACCTTCTGTGTCTGGATTCTACACTCCGGAGGCAACAGTCTCTGCCCTGACCATTCGGGGCCAAGCACCCAACAACTAGGACAGTCCTACACCCTGGAGCCACAGAGTGCTCAAACCAGCCAAGCCCAAGCCTTGTCGGCCTCACCCATCCCTCTCACAAGAGCCACAACACAGGCTCCTGTCTACAGACTTTCACATCCTTTCTGCCACCTGATCTCCCTGTGTAGCCTGGGGGTGCCCTACCTTCTGCTGCTGAAGACCTGTGAGTAAACACTTAAGCTCCTTCATGGCCTCACCACATCTGATTTAAAATAAGTCCCAGGTACATTTGAATACACAGAAACCAAAAAAGTAACGATGGGAGATAGCTTGTTAAGTAATTGTATGTTCAATACTGTAACGGGCAGCTGAAACAGCTTATTTACTCTTTACAGTGATTTGCTAAGATAACCATGACCAACAGTGACAAATGACGAGGAAGCAGAGGGACCCATAGGTTAGCATCTCGCCCAGGCCACGTGGGCAGTGCTCTGTGTGCCATGTGTGACCCCCGATGTGTCCTATGGTGGCAGGCCGCAGGGGAGGGAGTCCTTCAGGCTGACTCAGAATCAAGTCATACCACAGGCATCTTCTAAAGAGCAGTAACTTAGAAGAAGGAGACTGCCGGGAGCTGCTGGCAGAGGCAGGTGGTTGAGCCCGAGAGCTCCAGAGCACAGCAGGACAGGCACTGCCAAGGAGGAATTCCTCAAGGTGCCACGATGCAACCAGAAAGCAGATGACCAAAGTGAAAATCCGGGCCGGCCCGGTGGCGCACTGCGCTAGTGCGCCGCTTGGGAAGCGCGGAGGCGCTCCCGCTGAGGGTTCGGATCCCACATACAGACCGGTTCCCGCTCACTGGCTGAGCGAGGCGTGGGGGCAACACCGAGGGTTGCGATCCCGTTGCTGGTCCTGGTCCGGTACGGGGGCGACACTGAGGGTTGCGATCCGTTGCCGGACATGGAAAAAGACAAAAAAAAAAAAAAGAAAAAAAAAAAGAAAATCCACCACCAAGACACCTTTGAATTAAGTGCAGTAACTCCTATTCAGAAAAGCAATGTTATTTAATGCATTTTAGAAAGGTTTCCATTTGAAAAATTTAAATAAAAAACATTATGACATTTGAAGAGAGTAAATTTTGTTATCTGAATATGGACAGCTCCTCTTCTGGTGATTCCACATAAACAAGGCTCTGCTGTCTCCTTATGGGACAACAAGCTGCAAAGGCAGCTGCTCCTGCGTTACTGCTGAGGTAGATAACCCAACGCCAGCAACTTACGGATGTGAACCTAGATGAAATGCTGTCTAGGGTCTGCGTGCTGCTCTGTGTCCGAGCGCACATGTTGCAGCTCACTAGCTCATTCAGTGAGCACTTACTGAGAACAGACTGCTGGGTATGATGGAGCAGAGATCAGTGAATTATCTCTACAAAACCATTGGACAAAATTGTAAAAACAACCATTTCAGGGCTTGGAAATCAACTAAAGGCAGATGAGAAATTGGAAGACATTACTCTTGAAAACCTGCGACAGCTTTGGGCAGGAAGAGTAGGATTCTGTGTTTCCTTGCCTGGGGCCGCTCCATCTCCCCCGACCCCGCTGTGGCTGGCAAGAGGGCAGCTGTATCAGGGTGGGGTTGTTGGGGCGTTGAGGCCACACACCTCCTCCCGGGGCAGAGAACTAGCCACGACCCCACCCACACACGTGTTTGTAATCTGTTGAAAACATTCACCTGGACAGGAGAGATAAAGATGGTGCCTGATGGAAGCTGCCAGGGAGTGGCCAAGGAAAGACATAGTTTAAAATTATTGGATAAAAGATATTTCCACGCTTGTGCTCACTGTGTGATTGCAATAGCAAAGCATTAGAGCAAGATGCACGCTCATGTGACCTTTAAGATGATAGGCTGAAGTTAGGAAATCCCCTTGCCATATGCGTATAAAAGCAGGTGCTTGTGTGAAAATAAATGGAACTGCTTGACAGAACCCCTGCCGCGTCTGAGTGTCTCTCTGTGGGGCTGAATAGGTGGGCGGCATACTCACCTTCCTCCTGGGCTCTCCTGGCCACTAGGGTGGCAGGAGTAATTCTACCGGTTCCCTCTCTTGCTCATCCCGTGGCGGGGGGATAAAAGGGGCTACTGGGAGGTTCGGGGCCCGCCGCCCCTGAGCCCCTGCATGGGGTGGCTAGGAACCAGGGGCTTTGCTTCAGAGGGAGTGGGCTCAGGGCAGGAGGAGAACACTCTCATTGACTACGAGTGTTGAATCTGCGGGACACGGAGAGAGCAGGGCCTGCCAGAAAGATAATGGCGAAACCCTGGAAACAAGAGCCAGAGAGAGGCTGCAGCCCACGTAAACTCGGCTGATGGAAACAGCACACGTGTGTGCAGGGGAGACTTGGGGTACCTACAGAAGTGAAGTCAGAGTGATTTGAGAAGCATCTGGATGCCGCATGGCCTACCAACACAAACAGACCATCGTCTGCTCTTACTACTTGCATTCCATATTGTTTTGGAGGTTCTAGCTAGGGCAGTTAAGAAAAAAAAAAAAAAGGCATCCAGATTGAAAAGAAAGAAGTAAAACATGATCTTACATACAGAAAACCCTAAAGAATGCACAAAAAACACCAGAGTTAATAAATGTGTTCATCAAAGGCCGGCCCGGTGGCGCACTGCTACAGTGCGCTGCTTGGGAAGCGCGGTGGCGCTCCTGCCGAGGGTTCGGATCCCACATACAGACCGGTTCCCGCTCACTGGCTGAGCGAGGGGCGGGAGCAACACCGAGGGTTGCAATCCCGTGGCCGGTCCCGGTCCGGTACGGGCGCGACACTGAGGGTTGCGATCCATTGCCGGTCACGAAAAAAAAGACAAAAAGGAAAATAAATAAATAAATAAATAAAAATAAATGTGTTCATCAAGCTTGCAGGACACAAGATCAATCTATAAAAATCCATTGTATTTTCGACACGTTAGCAATAAAAATCTGAAAATGCAATTTAGGAAACAATTCCATTTAAAATAGCATCAAAAAGAATAAAATACCGAGGAATAAATTTTGCCAAAAAAGTATAAGACTTTCACTGAAAACTACAAAACACTGTTGAAAGAAAATAAAGATCTAAATAAAGGGAAAGATATCCAATGTTCATGGGCTGGAAGACTTACTATTGTTAAGATGGTAATGCTCCCCAGATTGACGCAGTCAGTGAAATCCCTATCAAAATCCCAACTTCCTGTTAAGCAGAAATGAGGAGGCTGATCCTAAAATTCAAATGGACATTCAAGAAGTCAGAAAAGCCAAACCAATCTTGAAAAAGAACAAAGCTGGAAAACTCACATGCCATGATTTTGCAAATTACTACAAAACTATAGTAAGAAAAGACAAAAGAAAAACCTTTAAAGCAGCAGGAGAAAAGCAATGCATCACAGCCAGAAGGACGATGTAACTCAAGGCTAACTCGGCACCAGAAACACCAGAAGCCAAGTAGCTGCGGAATGGCTCATGCACAGTGCTGAAAATAGCCAGACAAGAAAGTCTACGTTAGGAGAAATTATCCTTCAAAAGGAAGACAAACTAAAGACATTCAAAGATGGACAAAAACTGAGAGAATTCAAGCTAGCCAATCTTCCCGACAAGACATTTTAAAAAGAACTTCAGGTTGAAAGAAAATAAAACCAGACAGAACCGTTGAGTCCCCAGGAAGGAGTGACAAGCCCTGGACATGATAAGCAGGCTGCAAATGTAAAAGGTGTGTGTCTGTGTTTTACCATAACAGCTTTAAGAAACATAAGCTTAATTATAGTAATTACAATATTATATTGTTGGGTTTATAACATAAATTATGTGTATTGGGAACTTCAAAAAGTTTGTGGAAAATGGAATTAAAAGATAAAAAT